CTAATTCGTATTAAAAAAATTATTTAACACAATAATTTCAGCTTTATTATGATTATTCTTGATAAATGACCACAGGTCAACTTGATTTTTAATCGTTATAATCTTTAAATTCAGTGTGAATAGAGAAAATGTGTAATATAATTCATTTCACGATACTATACCAAACAAGCGTTGAATACATACAAATGTAACGATAGAAATTATTGCAACAATGCGTAATGTAATTGAAAAATTGAAAGAATCAGAAGAAAAAACGCGAATTCGTATCTTTTTCGATTCTAGAATATAAGAAAATTTGAATAAAATACGCGACGAGAATTGAGGAGAAGCATAAGTTAAACGCGTAAAAATATTCAATAATAAACGAACTAGGAATGAAGCTATTATTTCAATACGCGATGCACTGACTCTAGTATTTACTAAAATTCAAAAATTCTCGTATAAATTCCGAAAATAGATTATTAATTACGGTAAACTACTGAGACGGTTTAATTAAGGGTGGGCATGGTGCTGCTTTAGTTTGAAATGATTTATAAACACATAATTAACAGAGGAAAAACCGTGAAACGGCAAAACGTCAACATTCTAATTGTTATAACATGTAAACAGAACTTTAAATTTAGTGTAAACAGAAAAAATATATAATACAATTTATTTCACGGTATTGCAACAAATAAACGTTGAATCAATATTTAATTCGTATAAAAACAATTATTTAACGTAATAATTTTACCTTCACTATGGCTATTTTTAATCTACGACCACAGGTCAACCTGATTTCTAATCCTTACGAACTTTAAATTCAGTCTAAACTGAGAAAATATATAATACAATTTATTTCACGGTATTGCAACAAACAAACGTTGAATAGATTCTTAATTCGTATAGAAACATTTATTTAAAATAATAATTTCACCTTCACTATGGCTATTTTAAATTTACGACCAAGGGTCAACCTGATTTTTAATCCTCCGAACTTGATTTCACAACGAGAAAGTAATAAGATCGTTGAAACGTACTTATTTGTCAAAGAAACTTGCAAAAATGTATAAATAATAATATGTAATGTTTTAACAAATTTTTGGAAGTATAAATTAATAATAAAATTGTGAAAATTAATAAATTATACGTTATTATAACATTAATAGAATTATGACTAAACCGAAGTTCGAAGTCGAGTATTTAAAGTCTGATATTACGTGCCTAGCGAGTGCCGGTAATTGTTAAAATTTGTTTAATAATTAGTAATAGAAATTCTAATTGATTCTAATGTATACAAGTGTTACAAGAAGGCTGAGTGTGTACAGGGTGGACATAGACTAGCTAGTAGCCCCCGACCACTCTATTCACATCTCAGAACCTTCAGGTCAAAATACGCCGCGAAGTGTCTAGGGCCCAGTATAAAGGGTAAATGATTTCGCGGGACATCGGCGGGTCCTTATATACCTGCGGTACCCTCTCCCCAAAGTCATTAGCAAAATCGTCGGTTAGGTCAGGCGGGAAATTTTCGCGGGAGATTTTCGCGGGAGATTTCCGATATCGTAACACGGTATAATTTATCAATTTTCACAATTTTATTAAAAATTTATACTTCCGACAATTTGTTATAACATTGCATATAACAATTTATACGTTTTTACAATATTCTTCAATGGAAACATAGGTTTTAGCGTTCTCGTTACTTACTCGTGGTTAAATTAATTTCGTAGGGATTAAAAATCAGGTTGACCTGTGGTCGTAGATTAAAAATAACCATAGTACAGCTAAATTTATCGTGTTAAATAATTCTTCTTACACGAATGAAAAATGTATTCAACGTTTGCTTGTTACAATACCATGAAATAAAT